AAACAGTAAAGGGCATTTCGATTGTAGTCCCCCAAATGTTTCATATTTTGAAATTATTTCTCCAAATCTTCATATTTTGAAATTAGTCCCCCAAATCTATATGTATTTGGAAATTAGTTCCCCAAATCTTCATATTTTGAAATTGGTGCTCCAACTATGTTAAAGTATTTTGAAATTAGTGTTCCAAATGTTTCAACCTAGTGCTAAGTTGCTAACTAGTAGGACTAATTTAAAAAAAAAACAAAAGATTTGGGGAAATAATTTCAAAATATGAAGATTTAGAGAATTGAATTCAAAACATTACACTTAAAGTTTTGGGGGAATAATTTTAAAATATGAAGATTTGGGGACTAATTTTAAAATATGAAAGATTTGGGGGATTAATATAAAAAAACTCCAAAGTAAATTTGAACTCATTCTGATAGCGCCGTGGTTATTTGACACTGCCTCCAAATGTGAATCCCCCGAATCTTTCATATTTTGAAATTAGTCCCCCAAATCTTCATATTTTGATACCCCAAATCCTTAGTTTTTTCAAATTAGTCCCTCTAGTTAGCACTAGGTTGAAATATTTAGGGGACAAATTTCGAAACACTTAACATATTTGGGGGGCCAATTTCAAAATATGAAGATTTGAGTACTAATATCGTGAAAACCTTTTACATTTCGGTCTATTAAGGATAGAGAGAGCGAAAGAGATGTCCAGTCAGCAAGCAAGTTTCAGAAATCAAAATTTTAACCTGCCACATCAGCATTTTTTAACGAAATTTTTTGAAAAGGACCCAAGCTGAAAACTGAGCAAACATTAAGGACTTCATTTGATGACTTACAAACATCAGTGACCTAGATAATGTTTGACCCATACTTTAGGAACTCCACTAAAGTATTGCCTTAAATCTAAGGCTGTCCTAAAATGACATCAAGGAATTACGGAAACAGAACAGATGTAGAACGTAACAAAGGCCTTCTGGTTGATGTTAAGCTGGAACTAGTATGGAAAATAAGTCAGATTTTGTCTGCTAGCCTCCTTCAAGCTCTGGGCAACCTATATCATTAACCCTTTGGGAATCACAAATGTAAAAAACCGGAGAGAATCCGGTTCTGTTGACGAGCCGCCAGAAACAACAGATACTCCTATAGGTAGTCTTTATCCCAGAGAAATCAGAACTACTAGTATTTTCTATGAACCTACACCTGGAATCAAGTCATGGAACAAAATATTAGATATCAAATCATGGAACAGATTTCAAAGCCGCTTCCCTTGATGTGGATCTATAAACTTCCAAGTCCAAAATCTTTTCCTTTTTCACAGGTTCCTCACCAAAAAAAAAGGCACCCAAAAATATTTGATAAAATCTTTTGCTTTTCGTTGCTTTGAGATTTAAGCAATTATTAACGTTCGACTCATTTGTGCAGATAGCAGTTGAAATCCCGTACACCATAGCTCAAGTGCTCATATTCTCGGTCATCGTGTACTCAATGATAGGATTTCAGTTTACAATAGCAAAGTTCTTTTGGTTCACGCTATTCATACTGTTAAGCTTTACCTATTTCATACTTTATGGGATGATGACAGTTGCACTGACACCAACACAAGAAATCGCTGCTGGTCTTTCCTTCCTCATCTTTATGATGTGGAATACCTTCTCTGGTTTCTATATTCCGATAAAGGTAAATATTTATGGCTGACCCCAAGCATTGACTAATTATCAAACCTTAGTTTTAGCACTGTCTCGCGTGCGTTCAGTTAAATGTGTGGGTTTGGTCTAGCAAAAAGCTAGCATGAAATATGATTTTGTTTGCATTAAAAAATAATTCGATAGATACATTGTTCAATATGTGGGTTTGCTCTCTCATTGGACTTGATTGGATCCAAACAACAAGGTTGACATTTTTTACAGGTGTCTAACACCCACTCACTTCAATGTGCGGGTTTGATCCCAGCCAAAAAAAAAAAAAAAAAAAAAAAAAACTTTGAGATTTAAGCAATTATTAACGTTCGACTCATTTGTGCAGATAGCAGTTGAAATCCCGTACACCATAGCTCAAGTGCTCATATTCTCGGTCATCGTGTACTCAATGATAGGATTTCAGTTTACAATAGCAAAGTTCTTTTGGTTCACGCTATTCATACTGTTAAGCTTTACCTATTTCATACTTTATGGGATGATGACAGTTGCACTGACACCAACACAAGAAATCGCTGCTGGTCTTTCCTTCCTCATCTTTATGATGTGGAATACCTTCTCTGGTTTCTATATTCCGATAAAGGTAAATATTTATGGCTGACCCCAAGCATTGACTAATTATCAAACCTTAGTTTTAGCACTGTCTCGCGTGCGTTCAGTTAAATGTGTGGGTTTGGTCTAGCAAAAAGCTAGCATGAAATATGATTTTGTTTGCATTAAAAAATAATTCGATAGATACATTGTTCAATATGTGGGTTTGCTCTCTCATTGGACTTGATTGGATCCAAACAACAAGGTTGACATTTTTTACAGGTGTCTAACACCCACTCACTTCAATGTGCGGGTTTGATCCCAGCCAAAAAAAAAAAAAAAAAAAAAAAAAAAAAAAAAAAAAAAAGACATGAAGATGATATTTAGCTCCACCCGTTGAAAGAGTGGTTAGATAGATCTACAATCAAATATGTTTAGGCTCAAGACTCATTAAGGATCAAATCCTCTCGAGCCAATTTGAGTCGAAGTAGATTAGTCTAGTCTTATATCCCTTTGTGTACCTTTGCACCCTAACACTCATAATTTTACTCTTTATGTGTCCATATATGCAGATGATACCGATATGGTGGAGATGGTTCTATTGGGCTAGTCCTCCAGCATGGACAATTTACGGTCTAATGTTCTCTCAATTGGGTGACCGGGTTGAGATAATTAGGGTTCCAGGGTATCAAGATCAGACTGTTAAAGAGTTCCTTGTTGACTACCTCGGGTTACAAGATGACCATATCCCTCTTATTGTTGCTCTTCATGTTGTCGTTATAATCTTGTTCTCATTTTTGTTTACTCTCGGTATCAAACATCTGAACTTCCAGAAAAGATGAAATAACGTGTATATTGCTTGTATTTGCTCATGTATATGCATGTCTATTGAGATGTGTACAAGTGTGCAGCAAAAGGCCTGTTCACTAGAGCTCATGTAACTTCTTAGATTTGAGAATTCAGTGCACCCTGTGCAAACCACGACTCTCTATTTTTTCAAGCACTGTATTTTAAACTTGTCTCCCTCTAAGTTTTAATACATGTGATTTAATTATTATCTACTTAAAATTAGAAATCATATCTACTCTTCTATGCTTAAAGAAAGATCCAAGTTTTAGTACATTTAATTTGCTTTAGTATTAATGATATAGTAAATTACTGTAATATAAATAGTAACTTCAAGTATGGGGAGTAGATTTTAACTTTCAGTTTATGCTATAATGAACATTGTAGTATGAACAGTAACTTCGATAGATTTTTTTTGCTGCTCAAGCTAAGGTATTCACCGCAATTTTACTGTAGCATAAACGGTATTCTTTGGATTCTCCTTTTAAGTATAGAGGAGTAGATAACAAAAATTAAGTATCCATGTTATATTTTGTTAATTAATTCGATTTCTTTCAAGTTGACTTACGTGAATCACAAGAAAGAATGGGCTCTTCCCACAGGATCTATTGATTGCATACCAATGGCATTCAGAACAGCATATAAATAAGTTGTTAAACATCTGATTTTGAGGTTAATTTGAGGAAACCTCTTGAACTTTGAGGAGTTTGGCAGCTAACCCCCTTAACAAATCTAATTCCATTGAACAATTCCAAATATGGGGGTGTTGCGGATAACTCCCTGAATTTCTTTTTATTCCACTAACTACCCCATTACCGCATTAACTCTTATGTTTCACCCTGTTGAAAAAGATGATAACATTCCTTAGCCGTAGAAAAAAAGGGAAAATTGTGTCGAGCCCCCAAAAGCAAAAATTTCATGTGTTGCAGCCCCTCCAACTTTCTCTCATGTGGTTCAACCCCTTTGATAGGCAAAATTTGCAAGCGCACAGACTCGTTGTAGCTATCAATATCGATCTCACAGGGACTAGGGGTCAATTACCAAATTTCACGTTATTTGGCTAGCTAAACTAATGAGTAAATTAGAAGAGATAAAAATTAAAAGAAATAAAATAAATAGCTAATCAGATGGAATTCAATATAATGAAGGGCTAGGATTGGGTTTTCACAACAACTTCGATGCTCAATGATGAATTATTTCAGCTCTCGGTGTTGGTTTAAACTAGAAAGGGTGAATTAGCCTAAATTAATCTAAAGCTTCTTTCAAGGTCTAAAGATCGTGCCTAAAAAATCTCAATTAACCTACTTTCGTGGAATCAAGATTAAATTAAACCCATTAAGCTTTATGCTAATCAAAATCAAATCCCCAAGGAATGTAGCCTACTTTCGTGGTTCAAAAACCCTGCTTAATTTCTAAAGGTCCGATATTAATCTTCACCTTTTAGTTCTTCAATTAATTACCTATGATTGCTAATACGGTGATCAAACGAATCAACAAAATTAAAACACTAAAAATCAACTTTAAAGATTTAAACCTTCACCAAGAACATATATTAAATCATCATCAATCACCAAAAAGTTGGGTTCTTTCCCAATATTAGACAAGAAATCCACTCACACATGATTGGGATAAGAGAATACATCAAGTAATTATGTAAATCAATCATAAAAAGAAATAAATCAAAGAGAGGAAATAATTAACCCGTCTTTCAATTGAAATCTTCAAAATCAAAACTTGCAATCCAATCTTGTACAAGAAATTAATGTCTTCCTTCAATACTTGAACTCTAAAATAGTTGCTAATTGATGGCTAAGAGAATATAACAAAAGATATCTAAAACCTAAACCAAAATATCTATTTATATGTCCCTAAAAAATCTAAAAAAAAGGCCCGCGCCACGGGTGTGGTGTGCACCACACCAGAGTGTGGTGAAATCTGTCTTGCTAATTTTGTGCTTGTCTGTACAGTCTTCGGTATTTTGGCTATAACTTTTGCATCCGACCTCGGAATGAGGTGATTCAAGTTGCATTATAAATCTATTGAAGAGATCTATAACTTTTATCTTTGAGTTTTCCCAGATTCAGATTGCATAAGGATCGAAATTCCAATTTTTCATATTCGTGCATCTATTTTCTTCTCAAACCATGCATTCGAAATCATGTTGTTGCTTCAAACTCTTGTTTAACTTCCAACAATCATCGAATATTTCAATATTGAGCCAATACCTACATATAAGAACATAAACCACAACAGTATCCTCGATCTAAACACGAAATATGCATTAAACACTCATAAATCATGCTTGAAACACACTAGGATAATGCATATTTTATGTGTTTATCAACTCCCCCAAGCTTAGACTTTTGCTTATCCTCAAGCAAATAAATAATAAAAATTAAGAGGAGTGAAAGCCAAATAGAGTAGGGATCACCCGTTCATCAACCCTTTAACTAATAACAAACATATCACAAGAAAGGCACGTTTCATCAGGACTTAGCAAAGTAATTTTCACAACTCTAAAAAAAATCACATTTCAAACTGTACTTACTATCACAAGCGTCACAAACCAAGGATAGCCATCCTATCCAATTCTCAAGTCAAAGTAGGAAAAAGAAATTCATGTAGCTAGCTTCAATCTAGAAGTAGAATTGAGACTTTGAGGTAGCTAAATTGGTAGACCTCACTTTAGGGTATGTGGACTCTCGATCTCTCATGTGTTTAGGGATAGGATTATGTCACTCAAAATTCTTCCGAATGGATATATTCAATCCATAAGCTTGCATTTCATCTTAATTCTCCACCACTTCGAAAACTAATGCATGCAAAAAATTATGTGGTCTTTTATTTGGTTGTAACGGGGCTAGGGTCAAAAGGATAGGATAGATATTGGGGATTGGTTGAAAGCCTATCACTAGTGGAGCGATGATTGTAAAAGATTAGATCTCAAAGTAAAATAAATGACATCCACAAAAACTCCACCATCTATCAAAAAACTTCTTCCAACCACTCCTTTTAGTACACCATAATGAATTCTTTTGACACCAATAATTACATACACCATAAAGAGAACACTTTATTGAATTTGTTTTTTTGGATTTTTTTTAATTGAAAATGAAAAGGAAGCAAACACCTACTTTCACACCCCAAGCTTACACCTCATTACTCACATAGCCCATTATATCATAAATTATGCTCCACTAGCTTAAGCAATGGGTAAGGAATACAATCGGGTTTTGAAGGTTACATATGTGGGTTAAATCAATAAAAATAAGGCTCATAGGCTCAAAGGGACTAATCAAAGGGAATAATAGTGCATGGTAGGCTGTTTGGCTAATGTGGACTATAAACAAAAATGTGCCTCAATCACCTTTTATGCATACAAAAGTTATATATGGCCTTGAAGAGATTCAATGCAAGTTCTAGTATCCTACACCATTGGAGAATATCACACAAGAAAAGAAAATAATAATTAGATATGTAATGCATCCAATTTCAGGCTCAAGATCTCACCAGTTTTATTTGTCTACCAAATTTAATTTCTCTCTTGTCTCAGTAGAATAATAGTTATGATGCTAGCCACATAAATGCTAAATCCTATAAGACAAGAGAATATTCAAGTCTGGTTCTCCCATATTGTTAACTTGTAATCAAAAGCCTTTAAAAATCAATTGAGAGGAGGTTTAAGAACTTGTCAAGTCCCGACTAATGAGCATCTTGTTGGCCTTTTTGTTTTGATGATGTTTAACAAACAATTTACTTCTAATATTGTTTGTCTAGTGTTTGTGTTTTCGTATTTATTCTAGGCAAACAACGTATTGGAGGATGGATGGAATAGAGCCTTAACGATCATATCCAATGGAGGTTGGAGGAATTATGGTTGAAGCTACGCTATTCAAGTTAAAGATACAAGTTTAAACTTCATCCACAAGTGTACCAAGTTGAGCTACATCGAAGATCAATCAAGTTTGGGTAATTTAGTTTAGGTTTTATATTATGTGTGTTAGTACTTTAAGCTCAATCATATACACACATACACGTTTTGGTTTTGTATATATATAGTTATATATGTTTTGGTTTGATAGTTTTCAAGTTTTAATATGAAACAATTTAATATAATTAGAAACATATTTTTGTTTCATACTTATATGCATATATATGATTTCATCAATATCAATTTTATTTAGTTCAATGAAATCATGTTTTAGTACATTATATGTGTATTTTGATAAAATACTACATTCATTGTTTATAGACTTCATAAAAATAGTTTATATCTTTCTTCAAGTCTATAAAATTATTTTGTAAAGTTTCAAAATATGGTTTAGACAAAATGTCAAAATTCATATGCTTACATTTCTATATTTTGGACCTCCTTATAAAATGATGATATTTTACATTTGGGAAGTCCTTTTTAAAAACCAGTCTTTGTAACATGTTTATTATCATGTCTACAATCATTCTCCAAAGTTTTATATTTTTTAGAATTTATTTGATATTTTTAAACAGGGTTTTAAAATCAGAAATCTGTTTTAAAGCTATCTATTTCATATGTCGGTTTGCGGTCGACCGCCATGGTTGACCGCGCCTATGTCTTTTCCTGAGTGGACAGCAGAAACTTTTACGGTCGACCGCTACGGTCGACCGTCAGCTCGAATTTTCCCACGGTCGATCGTCACGGTCGACCGCCAAAGTCTCTGGAAAATTCTCAGCTTCGAAAGTGGTTCGCGGTCAACCGCGAGTTTTCCACGGTCGACCGCCGTTCACCCCAATGGCTCTTTTTGTACAGATTTGTATTCCTGATTTTCTGGGATTTTTGTTTTTTTGTTTGAGGTGTTGGCTGTTGGTTTCTCTTCCTATAAGAACCCCTCAACCCCTCTTCTACCAGTAAGCATTGGATAAAGTTTTAAACAAGTTTAAGAGGGTTTTACAGTTTGTTTAGTTTGTTTTTTGGGGTTTACTTTTACAAAGAGGAGCTTGCATTATCTGTTGAGGAGTTCATCTTCAATATCCTCTCATCCTCTCTTTGTGTTTATAGAGAAGTTTTCTAACTCTTTTCTCTAGCAATATTATTATTGATTTTCATATTCTTATTATTACTAGTTTGCTATTTGAGTTAGATTTGATTTTACTCATTATTTACACACACCCACATTGAGCTAATTGTATTTATATTCATAGTATAATTTGGGTTATGGGGTTGTAACAATT